CTTTGCCATTTGCCACCGGCGATGATGAGTCTAATTTCAGGATACCAATCGATTGTCTATGAATATCAGGAAATTACGTATTTATTTCCACGTGTCCCAGTTCGCGCGTTCCCCGCTTGCTTCGGGGATGTTGAGGATGCGAGGGATAAAAGCGACGAAGAGATGCGCCGTTTTCTTATTTATTTCGATAGTTGTTATTCCAGCTGTAACGTTGGCAGGGTTTCTCTTGTAACAGTTAGTGGAATATAACCAATTTGTAGACTATAACATGCAGTTCGATTTGACATCAATAAGAAAATTATTTTTGATATTATGCACAAAAGCATTAAGCTACGTTTTATGGAAAATCTTATCGACATCAATTCAGAGTTTTTATTAAAATTCATAACGTTTCTTCATAAAGCCACTTCTAAAATAAATGCCTCGTGTTATATTCAAGATCTACTACTACACCTTTCTCTGAATATTAATTTCTCATTGATCGAAGTAACGTTCTATTATTAAAATCCGCTGAAGATTCGCGCGTGGAACGGTTCTTAGGTTTCGTCGATTATTCTTACTTCGGGACGCATAACTATATTAGATATATTTATCCAAAGATGGCGCACGTCAGGCTAATGCAAATTAGCATACAAGATAGATGATACTCCAGTCGTACGTAACGCGAAGCGATTCGACCCGTTAAATTCGTTACGTTCATTACAGACTCCGCGTATCTTACCGAATATCGAATTAGCGTGACAACTTCGGGAATTAATGTCGCTCTGTTACATATTTGAAAAGAATACAAATAATAGAGGGACACTCCCGTGAAATCTTCCACGCTATTCGTCTCGTATTGTTTATAAGTGTGTACGGAGCTACACGTGAGATATGAGGAAAGGCGGGAGGAAAAATCGAGGAGCCGAGAATTGGCGAGCTGATTTATAGCTGGCTGCACGACGCCTCGGGTATCTCTCTTCGTGTTCCGTCTATGCGTTTGACATTTGGTGCCTTACGATGACCGACTGAAATATGAGCCTTCACGTCGCGAACGTCCAGCCGTCCGGTCCGGTCTCACGAAGTGGCGGAACTGGATTTCAGAGTCATAGAGACTCTGTGCGCGCACAAAGTTGAAATTGGCTCTTACGATGGACGCCCATTGCGCTTTCGCTGAATATTCATGCGCTATGGTAAAGGGTTATTGAACCGCTGCAGGTCTTGAACCTTGAATGAACCGAAACCTACGTAAGGATCGCGAACGATCGTCGATCGAGACGACAAATAATGTCGTCCCGAATATAATTATCCGGCTCTAAATAATAACAGCGCGTCAAACGAAGGACATGCGTGCATAATTCCATAATAAATTACTTTGCGAACGACATATCGTACGCTAATTTATGGAGTTTATTATTAGAAATTGTTGCGCCAAATTTCAGATATCACCGATAAAAAAAATAATGTAAATTCAATCCTTAACTAAAATATTTCACTGTTTGTAATATCAATATTAATCTATGGCGAACTAAAATAAAAATGTATCGTCCCGGGGAAAGAGATAAATTAATGTGATTTAAATAATTTAATATTTTTTTACTTCGTGACAGGTACCGTTTCTGAATAAGAGAGAGAAGAAAGTTCGCGGAACGTATTTATCGTATATTTCGGTTTCGGCGAACGTCCCGCGTTTAGATTAATTTTTAATTAATTGCGAAATTATGCTTGCGGACTAACAATAGCGCGCTCTCGATCTGCGCTTTAGTGGCATGCGACATCTCCTATCGGCATCATAAAATAGTATCGATTTTATCGTCGTAGAGGCGAGATGTGTACCGTTCGCGAGTGTCGGAGTAATTTTCGTTAATTAATGAAATAGATTAAAACACGGGAAAGCGCTCTCGGCGCTGCCGGACGCGGTCACGTTAGTTGACAGCGCGAAAAGGTATAATGTCGTCTGCATATCCGATGCAGGTCCATTTATATCGTCCGTCGCAACGTGCAAATTTCTGCAGTTGCATATACCAAAAATACTTATTGATATAACTGTCATTAAGAGTTTCGCATTTGCTTCTAGTTGATTCCTGCCATTATCCGCCTTCGCGTTATTTATTGAAAAGGGCATTGTGTCATTCACCCTAGCGCTTTGCGATTGCAGATCTTTGCATATTAATTCTCTTTGATTATATCTCGTAATTCTAAATAAATTGAAAATTTTAGAAAGAGAAATAAAATATTTCAAAAAAAAAAAAGATAAAATAAAATCCTATTAAAATGTCCAAAATTCATAAAATTCTTTCACAAATTGATCTTTCGAATATTATTTTATTCATTATATAAATGAATAAATAAATATGTTTATTTAATTAAATAAAATTTTACTTTGATGCTTTAAAACCAATTTTTCCTATACATATTAATTAAAAATTATTTCACCTCAAAATATTAAATATAAGATCAAAAGAATCAAATTAATTATAATTTTAATTTTTCTTTAATCCTTTCTGACAACACTTTTTGATAAACATGCAAATTAAAATCGCAGAAGTCATGCGCAACATTGTGTGTGTTAGCCTCAGGTAAACATACAGTGGTATTTTTCCAAAGGAAGAGTTCACGATGACTGACGGCGAATCTGTAAGCGGACTCTTTACGAAATCTATTAATAATGATAATATTTTTACGATCGGAGTCACTGTGGATACAGGTACGAATTATTCATAAACTTTTTAAAATAAAGAGAAAATCCACGTGTTTCTTAAACATAACCTGCAAGAGGAGACGATTTTGTTGATACAGGTTTCGAGTGGGAGGCGATTGATGAATGCAGGGAGAAACTGGGCAAGGATGTTTCTGTGGTCAAGCAACGTGGAAGAATCTATTTTAACATCGATTGGGATCAATTTGCAAAAGTACCCTTCTATGCAGTCTAGATTATTTTTTTTTTCAATATAGATGCAAGAATTATGTATTGTTATATTTTTCCATAAATATATTGTAGGTTGAACAAATGAGATCAATAGATCATATATTCATAATAGCTGACAACGGAAGTTTATCATTTACTAAAGACAAAGAATCTGACCTATTGTCTATACGTAACTATAACTTAGATATTCTCGCCAATTCAGAAAATAGATGGAAGAAGACTCTTGATGCATGGAAATGTGCAACAAATTTTAAGGGAAAGCTTTATCCAACAATTGAAGAATATACTGCAGTTAAAGAGCAACATCTTGTAGCCAAGGCAGAAATGTTGAAGATACGTAACAAAGAAAAAGAAGATAAGGATCCTCTTGATTGGAATATATCAGAGATGAAAGTAGATAAAGAAAAGAAAAGAGGACAAGATCCTTTAAAAGCCGAAGAAAGTGATGTACTTAAATATAGAGTAACTTGTGAAAGGATTGGTAAACATGCATTTGAGTCAAAGGATGTTGCTAGAGTTATAGGAGAAGTCTTACAGGACAAGTTTCACTGGCTGGTCGATTTATCTACGTATCATTTGGAAATTGTTTGCAAAGTGATAGATGGTATGAAAAACGAGAATTGATAGAATTTTAAGATATATACATTAAATTTTATAACACTCTAAATATAACTAATTATTTTTAAATATTTTAGATCAGCTAATAACGCATTTACGCGTAACACACAAATCCAAGCATAATAGAAACATCATAAATTTCGGACCGACTACTCTTAGATCAACTATATGTTACAACTTGTTAAAATTGGCAAATCCTAAACCAGGAGATATAATAGTAGATCCTATGTGTGGAGGAGGTTCCATTCCTATAGAGGTACCGTGTATTTACGATGATAAAATTAATAATTTATCACTTTTTATTTGCATATGCAAATTTTTTTAGGCAACATTAGCTTACCCACACTCATATGTTTTATGCGGTGACAACGATTCGAGAGCTATAGATAGAACAAAATCGAATATGGACGCTTCGACAATTGGATGCAAAATAAATCTCGTACAGTGGACCGCTTCAAAATTACCACTCAAAAATTCTTCTGTTGATATTGTCGTTACTGATATGGTATGGTAGAAATTAATCTTTAAAAATATTGTTCTACAATCATTTTTCAAATTATTTCCATAAGAAATAATCATTTTTTTTAATAAACAATTTGCAGCCTTTCGGCAAAAGAAGTGGAAATAAGACATATAATAGCATTTTTTACAAACAATTTTTGCTGGAATTTGGTCGTGTGGTAAAATTATACGGACGAGTAATTCTACTTACATATGATAGATGCAACTTTAAAGAAGCAAGTTTTTATTATAATTATAATTAAAACATTATTTTATTTAAAGAAGAAATTAAAAAAGAAACATTCTGCTGTGATTTGAAAATAATTTCTATTTTATTCATTTTAGGCCTTGGCGGCAGCTGGTGACTTATTCTGGGTGACAAAAATAATAGGAGTAAACGTAGGAGGACTTCCAGCTGCAGTTTATGTTTTGAATCGTACACAGATATCTATCGATTCTTTTAAACCGCGTGTCACTAAGCACTATAGTTACCCAAGAAACGATAAAGAATCATCTGTTCAATCAACTAAGAAATCTTCAACCAATTAAATACTCTATTCTTATAAGTGTTGTGATATACATTCTTATTTTTGTACGAAGTTAATAAAGTTTATTTACATATTTGGCATATAATAATGATCAATCTTTTTCAATGAATTTATCTGTCAAAAATAATTCTAATACATAAAGTTTACAAAAAGAACTTTCTTCTGCTTGTTTCCATGTCGTGTCTGCGGCCTTGGATAATCCACTCATAATCGCCATATTTACTGTCAAATGTTCCATGCTGCAACGATCTTAATTTCAGAGTAAATCGTGGACCCAATTCTCGCAATCTCGGTTTTCCAGTCTGGAGATTAAACTCGTATCTGCAAATTGACTCGTATTAGATTCAGATTACGCACGAGATACAATTAATACTATTATGAATTGTAATAAAATAGAGTTGCACATAAGTTAATTATTCAAATCTTTGTTCTATCTTTGTTTTATCTTTTAATATGTTTTTATGTATGGAATCAGCTGTCAAAAATGTCAACATATAATAAAATATATAACTCATTAAAAATTAGAAACATTTTTTTTGTTATAAAATTACCTATGATGTCTAAAAAATATATAATCTCTTTGATTGTGGAACGTCACTGCTCTCCTTCCTTTAAATTCTGGCTGATAATGAAACAATGCTCCCAACATTCTGCCAATGGTAAAACCTAAGCGCGTAGTAAAATTATTAAGAATAACTTCTGGTCTGTGTTCTGTGAATTCTTTATGGCTCCGCTTCAAATCCGTCGTTATTTTAACATTGCTGAGTTTGAAGTGTGCAGTAGGGCCATCTGGTAGATGAATGATTAACAATCCATCTAACATTTATAGGAAAATTATTTCAAGGTAAAAATAACTTAAATAAATCTAATACTTAATAACATAAATGTATTAAACATTAACTGAATTTTAAATAAAACTTTCTAAGAAAGGTCTATGTCTCAATCAGTCAAAAAATCTATTATATAAAAAATTAAACATTAGTTCATTGCAAATGAGATTATTATATTATTGTAATTTTATAAGGATACTTGGCTTGCATTGATCTTCGTTAACAATTACTATGTCTGTAAAATTTCTGGCAGTAGCACTCTTGACCATCTTTTTAACACCAGAGCGATTTCTGTACAATGAAATAGAGTTGGGTATTATTCTCGTAAGCTCTCTGCCAAAGATTCTTGTCTTTCTGTTTGGATTATCGGCATATGTAATAAGCACTTTGGGTTCATATTCCTGCTTGTAATAGGCAGCGAATTCATCTTGTTCAAACTCAGCCTTGATTTCCTGATTTGCCTCATCGTCCAGATCACCTATTATCATAGTCTCATCCTTCTCTCGCAGACTCTCTATAGTATGTGGCGTCTGTTTCGGAGCATCCTCTTGTATCCTTGCTTTTCTCGCTGCTTTCTTCGCCTTCGCTCGTTCCTTCATCAATTCCTGGCATTTTTGATATCTCAATGCTTTGCATTTGATGTGATTGAAGTTACTGTCGGATGGCAGCAAAACTTTTGAAGTTTTATCCGTCGAAGTACTCGGTTGATCATCCGCCACATCATTTTTTTCTTTCCGTCGACTGAGAGGATTTTCCCGCAAATTTTTCCGCAAATTTTTCTTCATCTTGTAGCACTTTCTATTAAAATTGTGTACATTCAAGAGCGTACATATATATCTGCGTTTCTAACCTATCAATCCTTTTGAGGATCCACGTGTTTACTTTTCCACAAGCGGCTCGCATGTAATTCATGTGAACGCCAATGCCGCCAACATTGTGAATAATTATATTCTGACATTACTAGATGACTTTCTCTAGACTACATTCAGAAACATCATCCGAGTGACTCCATCCTGTATCATTTTATTCTTGTTGTTTATTAGCTGCTAAACGAATATAAAATGATACACGACAGCACTCGGGTCATGTTTCCGAACGTAGCCCTGTAGATTAATATTATGTTTATTGTTTAACAAATTTTTGGAGCATGTGATTGGCTATACAATAGTGAAATTTTCAAGTCCTCAAAATCTCTATATCTTTTGTATTCGATAAAAATTTTGTCAAAATATTTCTTTCGTTTGTTACAAGGCGTTAATTTAAAAAATATATATATATATAAAACTCTGTTGAAAATACGTATTCCGCAGATTCATTAATATGTAATAAATGAATATATTTAAGAAATAAATAACAGACTTTTAAAATGTCAAAAATAAGTAAACAAACAATAAAAGAGTCCAGCATGATTATTGGTGTGTGCTAGATTTAGGTTTTATTTCGGTTTAAATTCACCTTTATTTTTAAACATAATAATTTATAAAAATATATTTATTTTTTTCCTTTAAAGACTGTCATCTCTCTCTATTTATCTAATAAGTTTTTTTATAATAATACAATATAATAATGTACGTTACTCCATAAAATAAAAGTAGAATCTTCCACAATTTTGGATAAATCAAATAATGTAAGATTCAAGCCTGGTTAAATGACTTATATAAAATGTCTATACTTGTTATCCTAATTACATTTTATATACATTTTACCTTAGCTATAAATCTTATATACAATCATTTAAACTTTAAAACTAGCCACAATACAAAAAATACTGCTACAGAAAAGAGGAACAGATATAAGATATAATAATTATGACCAGCCTTTGCTAGACGCAAAACACGGGTCACAGAACCAGATAAGGAACCACTTGTCCTATCAAAATCGTCATCCTAAAATATAAAATTCATTTTATTTCTTTTGTTAAAAGTAATATGCAGAACATGCAACCTATGTAAAACGTTAGAAGAAATGACTAACCATGGATCGTAACATTTTGTCTTGATATTTTACTTCAGTGCCAATATCAATAGATAATGATTTTAAAGCATGAATTTTATCCTTTAATTCTTCTGTCATCCTTTCATTCTCGTCTTCCACAGCATTATGAGCAGATGTACTTGGTAACGGCTCGTAGCTGTAACCTCCTAGGGAAAAGAAGTAAAAATTATATATAAAATACTTGAAATTGATGCATCTGGTAAATGTCAACTTACCTGAATGGGAACGTCGCATTTTGTTAGTAATGGTGATAGTTTAGTAAATGAACAGATACGGGAGAAAATTATGATTTCACAGAGCACCTCTTTAGGAAACTTTCAACTTTCTTCGTCTGAAAACATATGGATATCTATGGTTAGCTCTCTCTTTCTTAAATATTTACTTATATAAATATTATTATATTACTTATATAAATATAATTATAACAAAGAAAACTTACCCAGTTAAGCAATAATAACAACTATTTCAAAAGAGTACGTTATTCATGTGAGCAAATTATCATGAATGATGCTAAGTTGAAATAGTTATAAATATAACCTCAAATAGACAAGATGTTCGTATAATTTGCTTAAAAAATTCGTCTAAAGCTTATTTAATATAATATTTGTTATTTAACAGTTGTATAGAAAATACCGGAGCATAGATAGTGCAATAATATATGTCAATACGTCAACGTCACGATCGTAATGACGTGTGATACAGAGCGTTACAAGCGATGGAGTAAAATACGTTATGCTAGGTTACCGACAAGAAACTGATAATTTTATTATGCAAGATTAAAATCTAAATAACTAAATTATAACATATTATTAATTTTTATCTTGATAGTTTGCAAATATATACATATGTATTTACAATTCGATAATTATCATCACCAATAAATTGCACTTTCATTGTTATTCATTTATTTAACATCTACCAGGAAAAATAAAGCTATAGAAAAAATATTTATGTGACATTATTGCATATACACCTACTTATTTATAAAGCATTCTATTCTATATAATAAAAATGATTAAATTTAATGTATAAATTGCTTGATTGTTTTTATTTATATCGACAGTCGAACATGTATCAACAAGCGATAAATTATTATATACTATAGTGAAAAATTGTTTAATTTTAAATTTTCAATGTCTTAAATTTACAGCTTCTAAAATTCTATTCTATTAAGAAATATTCTTTTTTTATAAAATATTAAAAATAATTGTAGACAAAAAACTTGGAGAATCGTATTTCAGTTTATTATCAATATTATTTGTTAAATATAAAGGCACAAATAATAAGGAGTACTTTTCTACTTTCTAGATTCCTATCACTTACGATATTTCACAAATTGCCTACACGTTCGATATATAGACAATCTCACGCCAACAATCGTCATAGAATTACTTTCGGAGACGGAGAAACACTTATGATAATGTTAAACTACGGAGGGGAGGATCTTTGATCTCCCTCAAAAACTTAAATAATTTAATTACAATTCTATCTATATTCACAACCTTATAAGAAAAACGCTCAATGTATTTGTTCTTCTTTCACGTAAATGGAACGCGGGTCTTAACTCATATTGACGGTTCGTTCGATTAAATAAATGTGTATTAATATTTCAATATTATCGCATATAAAGTTCTCGATATGAAAATCGTTAACAATTTGAAAAACATAATTTTATTTGTAAGTCTTTCGACGCTCTTGCGCAAAGTTTCACACAACTAGGTATACTATTTTTATACAATTTTCACTAACATCTCTATCTCAACATAGAAGTGATAAGTACGTTTGATGTCACTCGCGTATAGAAACGCGGTATATCATTGAATCATAAAAATCTCACACTGTTATAACATATACATACATTTATTACATATATCGCTACGTAATGTTTCTCTACGCACATCAGTGTACGATTGACGATTTGATCCCAAGGAATAATTTGAGATTAGGCCTGAAATCTGGGTATAATAAACTGTATAAATTCCTATTACAAGAAATTTAGATTGACGACCTTTTGGAATGTTCAATATCATAGAAATCCAAAAAAAAAAGAAAAATAATCGGTTGTGTTTTTGTGGGTCGTCATGGGTATTAAACATTTTGTACTTTTATACCACGCCTAAGAGAAAAGTTGTGTTCTCTAAATGTGTATTACAATCAAAATCTACGTATAAAATTTACGAAGATATGAAAGTTTGTCAAATTATCTGATAGCACCTGCAATGAACTATTAATTGAAGATTATTGCTACGAATTAAACTACATGATTTCCAACGTTACCCTGGATAGATATATATACACTGTTGAGCATCGTTCTTGACTTCCTAGATTATACAGTACAGTTTCATCAAAATGAATCGATCGTTAGGCAAGAAGACTTTAAGGTATCGTCTTATATTCTCAATGTATGATGGATGTATGAGAATATATATCATAAATATGATCATAATTTGTAGAATATAAAAAGGATCGTATAAAAGAGAAGTCATACCTAAATGTAGTGATTTCGTTATACTGTGACTCAATTGATGTTACGTTTGAAATAATGTGTGAAAAGAAAACGCATGATAAATGAATCTATACGAGGAAGATCATATAAATCTACCGCGGAATTATTTGGAATATTTCGATGTGTTCAGAGAAACACTGGACGAATGAAAGCGTCGCGATGGTGCTGGGCTAACTGGAGCCGACGGAGATGGTCCAGTGGGCGTCGTCGGTTTGGAACCTCTTCTGCTTCGCCTCAAGGTAGAAAATGGGCTGGTGCCCCGATTGACATGCTCGTGGGCATAAAGTAGCACTCCGATGTCTCGATTACCCGCCTCCAGGGCAATCTTCAGAGCCGAGCTGCCATCCACGTCGACTATAGATGGATCGCAGTCCGGATGCGCGAGTAGCAACTTTACGATATCGGTATGGCCGTGCTCCGCGGCGCACATCAGCGCGGTGCTACCGTCTTCATCTTGAATATTAACCGCCGCTCCAGCATTTAGGAGCAGTTGCGTCATATCCTTGCGTCCATGCGATACCGCCAACATCAGTGCAGTTTGCCCATGCTGTTTGTTCAACAAAA